CAACACAAATCCCCACTAATTACAAAGTATTAAAGTTTAGGAGGCAAGCCTATGGCCATCTCTAGCCCCAAGAGAATGATCTAACCACTCATGATTGTTGTCATCCAACCTTTAAGGGCTCTCTTCATAGGTGGATTCATCTTCCTCCTCTTGATGTTCTTGGTAGAAACCCTAGCAATTGGAAGAATCCTCCCCAAAATGTGTATACTCTCTCTCTAATCTCTAGCCTCCCTCCAACTAACCAACCTCTCTACTAAAATAGCCAAAACCCTTATATAGGTAGCTCAAATGTCACACCCAATGGTCAGTCCTCGTGCATTAAGCCCTCCAAATGATTGTACCACGAGCACTCCTTTAATTGGTCTTGAAATCTGTTCTGCACGGTTTTTGAGGCAGTTTGATCAATCACACTATTGCTTCGATCGATCGAAGCATAGCGGCGCACTTATTTAGATAAGGACAAAGGCTGAGATATTTATGGGGAAAAGGACAAAAGTGGTTAGTGGGATAAGATCAAAGGATTCGATCGATCAAAGAAAAGATTTGATCAATCGAAGAGGAAATTTTCCTGAAGATAAGGACAGAAGCTCGATCCATCAAGGTAGGGTCGGAATGATCACAGCGTGATTGATCATAGCATGGTTCGATCGATCGAACAGGGACAATTTTAACCATTTTGCTTCCACTTTGCTCCTTCTTTTTGCTAGACTTTGGATTGCTTCCTCCAATACTCTAATTCAGTTGACTTGGCTTATTTTGGGGCTAAGTACTTAGAAAGAAGAAAAACATCAAATTAGACTAAAGCGGGGAAATAAGATAGAATAAGATCCTAGTATACTCAAGATTAAGGGTTTAAATGTGCACTTTTCAGTACTTATCAATTCTCCCACCAGGCGTGCCAAAATGTTGACCCCTTAAATCAGCTAAGCCTGCCAATTCAGAAATTGGCTTGATGCGAGTGTGCTAGAACCAATAGGCTTGGTTCAAACCATAAAGATCTGGTCAAACTCAATTTCTTTTGTACATTGATTGGAACAGGCGACTGGAAGGAGAGAGAACATGAAACTCCTTAATGAGTTCTAATTGCGTTAGATAGAAAAAAGGATTTAAAGTGGAAAACGAATTGCAATAATAACGAAACTGAATTGAGATGGAAATTGAAGAAAGAAATAATTATAGCTACTGGGAATTAATTCAACGTAAATGGAAATAAAAATATTAAGAAATCAATTGAAGGAAAGAAAAATTCAAATCACAATAAAGAAATAAAAAGAATTGTACTAACAATTAATCAACTAATAGAAAGCTGAATCAAAACTAGAAAAGAATTTAATTAAACTAAAGAAAGCATGATTTAGAAAGAAATTCTATTAATGCGATTGATTGTGAGGTGCTGGAACCTTACAAAAGCAACTTCTACCGTTATTTATAGAACTAAATATAGAGTCCTAATACAATTCTACTAAGGAAAATTAATTATCCTAGTACCCGGTAAGCCTATTTAATAAGTACTCCTACTCACTATACAACTCATTGTCCATCCTTCTCATACTACTCCTTAAATTAGAATAACTGATCGCCACATCACCTCAACTTGACACGTCATCGCCACCTCTTCTGCCCAAAAAGGTTCTCAACATAATCATCAATTAGAACAAAAAGTTAATTACCTAAATCAAATAAGAAAAAACAGTTTGAAACCTCATTACTTGATTAAAGGAAGAATGTCGTTTCTCAACTGTGTTTTTTTTTTTAATAATTCTTCTTCTATGCAAAGGAATCCTTCTAAACATTTTTTATTCATGAAGTAATGCGATACTCTACTTACGATAATTTAAGGTCTGTTTAGTATGCGATTTGTTTTTGGTGTTTTTGTTTTTGTTGGATATTATAGTAGTGAACAATGAAAAACATGCATTTGGTAAAAATTATTTTGTTTTGCAAAGAGTTAAAACATTTCATGAATAGTGGCCAAAAACTGAAACACCAATTTAATATTTTTATATGTTTTCGCACTATAGTGTTTGATAATATAACATGAATAAGAATATTCTTTTTTAAAAAACTTACATTTTTAAATTAATCATTATATTTTTCAAACATACAATACTTTTTTTACCAAATATAGTTTATGTTTTTGCTTACAAAAATCTTGCAACAAATAAATGTTACAAAACATGTTTCTGATTATTATTCAAAACATTTATTTTATTTTGAGTTAAAACAAAACGTCAAAAATAAAACACACAGCAAACACCATAGGTTTGTTTAACTTAAAAGATCATGATCGTATCAAATAAAATGAGAAAGATATTTTAAAGCTCAACCTGACAAGTTATTTACTATTCTACGCTTTTGTTGTACTAGAAAGACACAATTATGTATCAGTGTTAAACATTTACGAGCTATGATATAGATATGGAGATTGCGATTTCCCAACCCCTCATATATTTGATGGGTCAGAGACTCGGAGTCGGTTGTCGATATCTCTAGGATTTTTCAAATTTTACAGTTGCACAAGATAATAGTTCCAACGTCCACCCACAATAGTAAAGAGTGCTTGTCCTCATTTTGCAGCCTATGGACAAAGTTGGAGCGTGATGGTCATCAATGTTTTTAGATTTGGTGGTTGTCCCATGAAAGTCGCGTGAAATGCAGTTGTGTGTGTGTGTGTGTGTGTGTGTGTGTGGGAGAGAGAGAGATATTTGATCTTTTGGGTGTTGATACTTGATGCGCTCGCTTATGTGGTAGGAGAACAAATAATGAAAATGTGAGATAAGCTAGTTCAGCTAGTATTTTGCAACCGCAACGGTGTCGTACCTCTTTAGCCAATTCCAGATTTGCGAATAAATTGTACTCATCACTTCATTTTTTATTCTATTATTTATTTTTTCACAAAAATGTCACTATGACCCCTTCTCTGTTTAAATTTTTTTCTTTTTTCTTTTTTTTTGTATAATTGGCATTTTTTAAAAATATATTTTTTTATTACATCCACTTTTGGTTAGTAAAAAAGAAAATTTATTATACTCCACTTTTGGTTCGGACTTGGGTCCTCTAACTCAAAATTCCTCTAAGTTAATCATAAGTTAAATTTTTTACAAAATGACATGTGTCATTTAAGATACTTCTATAACTTATGTTAAACCACGTCAACTAATTTAATAAAATTTAGAAAACTACACTGTTTTAAGATAAAAATTTTAACATCTCTCTTTCCTATAAGATCTCTCCTCTTTTTTCCAAAAAAATATTGCTCTCTCTGTCTCCTCTTTTCTAAAATAATAGTATTAGCTTGGATGAAGAAGGTGACTTGATTAAAGAAACTTGAATAGTAGGTTTTCAATTTAATAATATACAATGTGTGCATAGATGAATTTTGTAAAATTTAAGTTTTGAACATAGTTTGCCATGATATGAACATCAAAGAGACATTCTTCATTATTTAGAATTACTAAATCTTTGGTAGGTAATAACTAGATGCATTTTTATGCAAATTCAAATTTAAACTGAAGTATAAATGGTTAAGGTATTTTAAAGTTTTTCTATCTTAAAACGATACAGTTTCTTAATTTTTATTAAATAAGCTAAGGTGATTTAACATAAGCCATATATATATATATATCTTAAATGACACATGTCATTCTCTAAAAAAATTCAACTTAAGATAACGTGAAGAAATTTTAACTTAGAAGATACAAGTCTCTGTCTCAAAATACTTGTCTTACTTAAGGAATCTAACTTTTTATAATAGTGAAATTTTAATAATTTTTTTATTATATTGATTAGAACGAAGTTTTAAATATATCTTTTTTAAAAGACAAAATAGTGCTATACTTTTTTAAACATCCAAAATAAAAAGATTGGACGGTACTTGACACAGAGGGAGTACATGTTGTGCAATGGTGACAAACGGGTGTAAATAGTTGAAAAAAAAAAAAAAAAAAAAAAAATGGAGGACAAGGTAGGCTGTAAAAAATTATTATTAAAAAAAGGCATGTAAACAAATCATTGCACCTTTCACTTTCAGTTCTAATATCGGCCAAAAAACAAAACTTTCAGTTCTAATTTCTTTTTACCAAAACTAGAGAAAAAACCACAGTAAAGTGGCATGCTACTGGCAATTAAGGCGATCAGGAACTACAAATCTATTATACTATATATATATTATATATATATACATATATATATTGAGGAGAGGGAAAAAAGGAGAAGAGGGAAGAGTGAGAAACGGAGGAGAGAGAAAAAAAGAAAAAAAAAAAAAAAAAAAAAAGGGGAAGAAAGATAAAACATAGGAGAGAGAGAACACTGATAAGATAGGAAAAAAAAAAAATGTTTTGATTGAGTGAATTAAGATTGTTACTTTTAACCATAGTCACACAATTCGTCCACAGTAATCCCGCTCTCAAGTTTCTATTTGCAATTTGGGACTGAATTCGCATAATATTCTCGAATTCAATTTTTGTAATTTCGCAAATTTATTTTTTTAATTCGCGATTTCCATACGAATTCACATTATACAACTTTGTTACGGTCGCAATGATATGGAACACTTATATTACCATATGCGTGTGTCCCTGTATTGGCATTGATATACTATCATATATAAAGAGATATATATATATATATATATATATATATATATATATATATATAATTAATGTTTGAAAATATATTACTAAAAGAACTTTCCAATCGCAGAGTATTACAAATAAATGCATCAATTAGTACTTTACCTTTTCAGCCATCTACCCGCCCAATTGCAAATTACCAGAATACCCCATGGCTGTACATTAGGAAGGGATTTTGATTGGAGATGGAATCGGGAGGAAATGAGCCTTCTCCTCTTCCTTCATTTCCCTTCACCTCCTCTTTTACCTAATGAAGAAAAGGCCTTTCTTAAAATATTTTATACTTAAGAATTGTCTTCAGAAAATTGAACCAAACAGACCCAAAAGTTTCCAACTTAAATGTTAGAAAATATAATGGGACTAGAAACATACCCAAGACAAACAAAAGCTAAGATACATATTTCCATAATAATGGTCAGAAAAAAATTACTGAATTCAGAAATTAAACATTAATTTGATACTGCAGGGAGATTAAGTTACAATGCTCATCAACATTGCCCCTTTTGAGATGATGATGTAACAGCAGGGGCCATGAACAAGAAGGTGAGGCTTGGTCAAATAATAACCAAGAAAAGATAACAAAATCTTAAAATGAAAAGGAACCAGGAGGAGCTGTACAACACAGATGAAAAAACAGATGAGAAATGGCCCGAAAATAGGGCTTATGTATACATGCTATGAACATTGTCCTTCCTTTTGCTTCAGTGATGTCCCCCGTCTGAGGACTGATAGGAATCCACCAGATGATTTATCTTTGTGCCGATCCTCTCCATCCCCAACCTGTCCCGCATACTTTCAGGTGTTATCAATATTGCACAAAAGTTTGATGCAGGTCAGAATAGTTGCAGCATTATGTTGTATCCATATACTATGTCATGGATTCAAATACGGTATGTCACCAATATTCATACATCTAATATAATTATATTCTAGGATAAAATGGTAAAAGCGTTCAACATGGACATTTCAATCATTTGAAAGCAATAATGTAACACGGTCTGGAAAGATGGGCGAAATGAATGAGAAAGGTGCCATGCCATGGGGGGCAATATCCTGAATCTTGTGCAACAAACAAAATGCACATCCAGGTGTGCCGAGGAGCTGAGTGAGGGACCTTCTCTAGCATATGATAGGTAATTGAGAGAATAATAATAATAGAATAATACGGAGTAATATATATATATATATATATACACACACAATTATATAAAAATTAAATAATGGGATGTATTTGTTAGGTGCATGTCCAACCAGACATGTTACTTTTGTGGTGTATATCTGATATGGATAATTCATGCATCTAGAAGGGTCGATTAATAAAGATTCATATTGAAATATTTGTGAATTGGATAATACTTGGACGAACTTTAGAATCTATTAGGAAACACTACAAATGAAGGAAGAGTTGCAATAAAAAATGATGATATTGGTCAGGAAAGTAGTAGACAGGCACAATTTAGATAACAATAATTAATAAGTGGGTTGAAAAACAATAGTATTAAAAGGAAGAAATTGTTGCAAGTTAATCGTATATTCATGAGTGGAACAACTGAATTATAAACAATAAAATAGGATAATTCAAACATAATTAAAGCTAGATATTACCTCCTTGACTATTTGCTGCAGGATGTTTAATATTTCAGTAAAGTCAGGTCGTAAGGCAGGATCTTGCTGCCAGCATCTCTCAAGCAGCTCAGCAAGCTTTGGATGAGTGTTCTTTGGGATTGTAGGCCTCAGACCCTGATAATCGAATCAAACAAAATAATGTGCCTAATCTACATTGCAAGTTATTCGATTGGCAAGTCACAATCTTTGATGGATATCTTGAGAATAGTGTCCTGATTCCCGATAGCACACAGGTAAATAACTACAAGTGAGAAATTCAACAATGTAGAAGAATAGGTATTTTACCTTTTGGACAACTCCAACAGCTGCTTGTAACGGGGTTAAATACTCGTAAGGAAGCTGGAAAGCCAAATACAAAAGAATGTAACTAAAGGGAATGATAACACAAGTAAATACTGAATCCAATATTTGCAATAGCAAACAATACCTTTCCAGTTAGCAACTCCCATAATACGATCCCAAAACTAAAAACGTCAGCCTTGTGATCATAGGGCTTATGCTCTATAACCTTCAAGAAAGAAGAACTATCATAAGTAAATACCTATCAACCCTTTACTAACCCTATGCAAAAAGATTACTACCAGAAGACTAATTAATGTAATTTCCCATTCACATTAAAGAAAAACCAGCAATTAAATGGCAGAAATTTTTAAAGGTTAGTAGACCATTTCTTAACTTTTACTTAACAAACTCAAACCACACCAACATGACCACCTTATCCGACAAAGACTAAAGAAGATCCCATTTACAATGTACAAGAAGTGACACAAACACTAAATAACTAAATAATTCAGAGTGATTAACAGAAACAAAGACCTGATAGTCTCAAGAGGAAACAGGCAAGTCCTGTGTCTCGCGAGCCCAAACAAGCAGATTGAGTTTCTCTCAAAAGTCAAGAGAGTAAAATGGACCAGAATTTTATTTTTTATTTTTTTAATTTAAATTTAAATTTTTTTATGTTTTATTTATTTTTTTGATAAGTAACATTGACCAGAAACAATACAACCATTAGAACAATGTAAGAAGTAATTCCAGAGTAATGCTATGTTTAGTAGGAAAGAAAAAATTTGAATGGAAGGGAGGGAAGAAGGGATGGATAAGACATCCCTAGGGAAGAGATTGTGTATTTCCTTCTTTTTGTTCGGTTGGATAGAAGAGAAAAGAAGAAACTAATAATTTACTATGTTCATTTAAAAGAGAATGAAATAGAAAGTTTTAATTATTTTTTACTATTATATCCAATAATATTTATAATATTGTAATCTATAGAGGGTAGAATTGTAATTTAAAACTTGTATAATTTAGTATAGTATTTAATTTAAAACTTCTATTATAGTCCACTTGTCTTCCCTCTTTTCTTCCGCCCATTTTTGGGCGGATGAAAATTTGTAAAGGAGGAAGGATGTGTCATCCTTCCTATTTTCCTTTCTTTCCTTGTATCAATTCTACCGAACAAAGAAAGTTTGTTCTTTCCTTCCTATTTTCTCTCCACACCCTTCCTTCCTTCCTACCGAACATAGCATAAGTGTTTTCTTTTTTTTTTTTTTTTTTTTGGCATATATTGTCAAGTAAGCTGAACTGACTAAAACAGCCCAGATAGGAGATAAGTGCAATACCAGCACTATTCTAAATCTTCTGTACTTGATAAGCTTACGTCATTTTTCTCCACTCCCCTCATCCCCTGACACACACATGCACAAAGCCTAGTGACACCACTAAAATTACCACTTCACTAACATTAATACTATAGGTAACAGAACTATAAAACACTGAAACTTATCCAGTAAAAATACTTGCAAAGTTAAAGGCAAGGAAAACAGCAAAAATGACAGATAGGTAACAGAATATTTTATAAATACCAGAATAGAAACCAAGCTTAATTGAGCTCCAGATGCAGCAATTATAACATTAAGCAAAACATGAAAATTTGAGCACTTTGTAACAATCAGATAGGCACTAGAAAGCAGATCACGTTATGGGAAACATCAATAATTTGAATAGTATTCTTTATTTCTCGCTTTCTAAAGGAAGACCAAAGAAAAATAAGCTGATTAGAGTGTTGTTTACTGTCTGTATTTAGAAATTTTGGTGGAGTAGAAACCAAGTTCTTCAGTCTGGTTCAGGGAAAGATGCTGTGCAGTTGGCTAAATCATCTTTGAGTCCCTTGAGTTGCTGAAGCTAAAGATGACAGATATTCATGTGTATGGGGAGGAATAGTCATATGTGGATAGAAGTCTGTTTAGATATTTGGTCAGTGATGCTCAGAGGCCTTTTAAAGGCTAAGTGAGGGTTTTGCGTTCCTTTGATTATGTTCAGTTTATTTAATTGTCTGGGCAGTGGTATTATTCTCTTTTCTTGGAATGTAATTGGAATTCAGTAGCTGTGCTGGTTGGAGATGTAATTAGAAGTTTCATAGCTTGGGGAATACAGATGCTCTGGCCTTGATTCTTTTCAATTACTCTGTTGATATGCTGACTATCCTTGTCTTGTTCTTCTTATTTTTATTTTCTCGATTTCGGAAGTGGTTCTTTTCAGTTTTCTTTGCTAGTGCTTAAGCTTGAGAGAAATCTTAATCTTAGCTGCTGTATCTTTCCTTGTTTGTTTCTGTGAGGGTGCTCCCTCTTGTTTTTTGCCTCTCTTTTTTCTTTTTTCTTTTGGTTAATAATATCTGATTTAGGAAAAAAAATATTTGAATAGCAAGGGCAACAAAATTTATTGTACAAAGGGCGAACCTCAGGAGCCATCCATCTATATGTCCCTGTTTCTGCTGTCATAACACCGGATGTAGCTTTTACTCTGGCAACTCCAAAATCAGCCACTTTAACAAGCTGTAATGCAAAACAAGATATAGAAAATTTATTTAACATCATGAAGCTGCAGATAAACATCACCTCAACTTGTAAAAAAATTATCAAATTCAATTCACATGCATCAATGATAAGAGGGAAACAGGAGTTATGAAGACTTAATGGACATAAGCAAGGTGGATTAATCACAAGGAGATATCACATATGGGTTAAGTGTAAAGGAAGCAAAAGTAGTTTGCACTTGATGATACTTGTTACACATCCATGAATAACAAGTAATACCAAAAACAGATGTCAATATATGTTCGTAAAACTGACACTTTTTACATAGTTGTTATCTATTACATAAATTAGATCACACTATAAAGAAAAGTTAAGATTTAATCGTGGTCATATCAAGGGTAAGCAGAAAACATAACAACAAAGGCGAGACAGACACATTTTCCCTCTCTCTCTCTCTCTCTCTCTCACACACACACACACACACAAAACAATTAATCAAGAATTCATAGCTAAGCATCAAGAGGCTGTACATTACTTCTTTTTCCTAAATAAGAGAATGCACATTAGAAACAAGAATATGTTGTAATGATTGCTAGCTGGTCAACTAATCTTAATTATATGAAATATATTCTATGATCATCAGTCGTCAACAGCTGATAATCAGATAGCTGAGAGGCCCAACTGAAGATCTCAGGCTGACAACTGCGATGATGCAGGTTCGAGTTTAAGAGCAGCCACCACCTTGAGCAAATATAATGCTGAAGGTTAGATATTTTTTCCCCATCTTCCCCTCCCAGCATCATGCTTAGTCTAAGCAATGGCGGCCTTTATATAATATAAAGTTCATAAACATGAATAAATATGGTGGTATCTTATCAAGCACAAATGGAAGCTGTTGGGGCAGCGGAAGCACGCGAATAAGTGTTTGTGTGTGAATGCTTTGTTGGCTTTCATTGGATCTTATTTATTTGCGAGCTTCCGCTGCCCCAACAGAAACTGTAAAAGCTTGATGGCTTTGCACAGAGATATAGGGCACAGCATCTGCCCAAAGGCAATACATAAACTTATTGTGTGTAGATTTGTGAGACTATCCTCTTCAGTTGCAGTTTCAAATCCATTTATATTCTTACACCTGGCTTACAACTATGGAAGCCTCTCCATTATTAGTGTTGTCAGGGGCTTATTTGTTATATAATGTTGGGGCTTATGTGTAATTTCTGAAACTTGTTAAATAGAATGTGGTGGAAGGATGAAAGTACTCTTTCATTTTTCTCTCTTTCCCCATCTCTCTCTCTTTTTCTCTCATCCGCTTTCTTCTCTTTTTCTTCTTCTTCTTCTTTATCACTTACTTTTGATTTGATTATATCCTACGAAGCACGGACACCGACACGGGACACGGGTACGATACGACACGGACACATATGGCAAATCTTAAAAAAATAGGACACGGACACAGCAAGGATACGGCAATAAAATAATAATATATATTTTTATTATATATAAAATTTTAATTTCACTTATAATTTTATTTATATCAATAGACATAACTCATTTATATTAATTCCAACCAAACTTTTATTAAAATAAAACAATAAATAAGTAGTATATCTTTGTATCTAATACTAGAATAGTTAAATTTGTAACCAAACAAATTGAAAAAGAGATAAGTTTTCAATGGTATCTTCTTGGTCTTCTCACATTGACGGATTATCTTCTCTCTGCTCTAAGCGGCGTCTTTATTTTCTCTGTATCTTAACTTTCTGTTTCCCTTGTTTTTCATTGATGGCTCTATTTACAATATAATGATATATGAATGAATATGCATACAGAAGTTCAATCAAACCATTAAAAGAAGATTTTCTCTTTAATTCTCTGAATCAAATTGGGACTCGGCAGACTTTGATCGATCTACACCAACAAACCATGATCATCAGGTTCTTCATCACATCTTTGTTGCTTTCTCCTCTCTTCCAGTTGCTCTCTCATCCCCTTCATCTCTAGATCTAAAGTTGCATTTGGCATGTTGTCTTCCATCGATCCACAAATATCTTCATCTCTATTTTTTTTCTAACAAAAATCTGAACGGCTGTGTCCTTAGAAGTGTCCCATCCGTGTCCTTCGGCGTGTCCGACTTGAAAAAAAAAAAAGAATAAAAAATAGGACACCTGTAAATGAGTGTCGGATACGTGTCCAAGGCTGGGACACGCGTGTCTGTGTCAGACACACGAACACGTGTCCGACATTGGTACGTTGCCCCTACCCTGCATGTCCGTGCTTCATAGATTGTATCTTAAAGTCAACATGGTATCAGAGCATGGTTTGTAAAGCTCTAGGGCAAGTTTGTGTAAACCCTAGTGAGTGTGAAGGGTTTTGAAGAGATTCCAAGATGGGATTTGTTTGCAAAGAAGTAAAGTTAATCACATCTACACGTACCGCTGATCCATGGCCATAATTACAAAGGTAGTAATCTTTTTATTTGAAGTTTGTGTGTTAGAGAGGTGGTTCTCTACGTTTTTTGTTGCTGTTTTTTGTTTCTGAGGATTGTATACCCAGAAATTGTTTGATAAAATGTCTGGCTTAGAGGTGACTTCAAAAGACGCTAGGTCTTCTCCTAGTCTGACTCCAGTATTGGGAAGTAGTAATGATCACCATCCAGGCCTTTGTATTACGACTATTAGGCTGGATGAGACGAACTATATGGAGTGGGCACAATTTACTCGTATACATATCACTGGTCGTAGGATGATCGACCATATCGAAGGGACTGTCACATATCCCTCCAAGAGCAATCTTACATTCAAAAAGTAGAGTGCAAATAATGCACTAGTTATGACGTAGTTGTTGCAGTCCATGCAGCCACATATCAACAAAGGGTTTCTGTTTGTGAAAACAGCTAAAGAGCTATGGACGGCTGTGGAAGAGACGTATTCCTCGGTTGGTAATTTTGTAAAACTATATGAATTCCAACAACAAATTTCAAGACTCAGGCAGGAAGACCAAACTCTTGCTGCATATTACCACACTCTACGTGGTAAATGGGAAGAGTCGGATCACTAGCAAGACTACATACCTATGAGTGCAGCTGATGTAAAAGCATTTCATGCTATGGTAGAAAGGAATCGAATCTATGAGTTCTTGGGTGGTCTGCATCCGAGATACGAGCATGCCAGGGTACTAGTTTTAGGCAGGTATCCAGCCCCTACTTTTGTTAAAGATGTGTTTTCGTATATCTAGGCTGAGGAGAGTAAAATGAAGGCTATGTCTACACCTGTATACACTAAGCCTGAGCCAGAAGTACCATTGTCTGAAAGGTCTGCTCTTTCCACACAACAATGGAACAAGCCTAATCCTCCAAAAGGAGGGAAACAGGATGACAAAAGCAAGTTGAGGTGTGATCACTATGGGCGTACGCACCACACTAGGGAAACATGTTAGAATCTACACGGTCGCCCTACTCCAGCTCTTGCTAATGCGAATGCTAGGCTAAGGCTTGGTCCATTTAGAGGGTTATCTACGGCACATACTGCAGAACGTGAGATTGCTTCTACTGGTTATGCCTCCTCAGGGCCACCGAGTTCTTTGTCCGGAGCTGAACTTGATGCTCTCCGACATCTACTTGCACAACATTCCTCCGTTTCCACCTCTAACTTCGCTCAGACAGGTACCTCTCATTCGGCACATCAGGTTTCCACATTATCTGGTGGACCACCTTGGATCACTGATTTAGGAGCCACTGATCACATGATTGGTATGACATCTGATTTTTCTTCACACAGTTTATATTCTTGTAAGGATAAGGTTAAAGTGGCTGATGGCACCTTCACCTCCATTGCAGGGAAGGGCACTGTTTCTGCCTCTCCTAATCTTAGCTTATCCTCTGTTCTTCGTGTTCCAAAGTTTACCAATAACCTCCTTTCTGTCAGTCATATTACAAAAGGCTTGAATTGTAGAGTAACCTTTTTACCATCTCACTGTGTGTTTCAGGACTTGGACATGGGGAAGACGATTGGAAGTGGACGTGAGGACAATGGCTTGTATTTGCTGAACGCGAGGCCAACTTCTTATTATGTTACAAGTCAATCTAGTGTTAGGAATAGTAATGTCAATAAAGATCTGTTAATGCGATGGCATAATAGACTAAGTCATTTACCTCTTCCTGTTTTGAAGCATGTGCTTCCCCAGTTTGCTTCTGTTGAATCTTTTGAGTTAAATTGTGAAACATGCGTTCTTGCCAAACAATGTCGCATTTCTTATCCTCCTAGTATTAATAAAAATACAGCTCCTTTGTAGCTTGTTCATTCTGATGTGTGGGGTCCTGAATCCACTACTTCGTTACTAGGTTTTCATTACTTTGTTGTGTTTGTTGATGACTTTAGTCGATATACTTGGCTTTGTCTTATGAAAACCAAAGATGAAGTTCATTCCATTTTTAAAACCTTTCATAGGATGGTATGTACTCAGTTTGGTTGTCCCCTCAAAATCATTCGATTTGATAATAGAGGAGAGTTTATGTATGGTGGTCTTGCCTCCTTTTTTGTTGATAATGGGATTGTCCATCAAACCTCGTGTCGATACACCACAACAGAACAGTGTCGCTGAAAGAAAACACCTTCACATTACAGAGGTGAATCTCTCTCTTCTAATTGGGATGGGAGTGCCTAAAAGTTATTGGGCTGATGCAACCTTAATAGCTACATACCTTATCAATCGCATGCCTTCTAAGGTTCTTGGCTATCAATCCCTCCTCTGTCTTACACCATGACACTGCCTTGTTTACTATCCCTCCGAAAGTGTTTGGTTGTGTTTGTTATGTTCACATTCATCATCGCAAGGACAAAATGGACCATAAGGCTATGTTACATGGACTCGGGTACGGGTGTCGGACACGGATATGTATCCGTGTGTTGAACGTATCAAATCTCCAAACATAAAGACACACGGACATTGCTAAATATTCATTTTAATAATTATTTTATTTTATTTTCTAGAGTAAAGTAATGTTTTTATCCAATATATTATTCAATATAGGCATTTAACTCTTTTTAAAGTAATAATATAATGTAAATGAATTATTGAATATGTTTTTTAAGTGCATGTCTAACCAAAAGTGTCGGACACATATCCCATACCCACGTCCGAGGGATATATGTCTGACACGGGTACTTCACTACTTTTGAAGAGTCCATGCAACAGAGCCATAAGGCAATCCGATGTGTCTTTCTTGGATACTCCACCACTCAAAAAGGGTATCAGTGTTATAACCCTACCACTCGTCGTCGCTTTGTCTCCATGGATGTTACATTCTTTGAGTCTGTTCCTTTTTTTTCCACTGCTTGGGATTCTCTACAGGGGGAAACTACTATACAGGTAGAGAATCCGTTGTCCATTCAGAGGGAATGCCCCCTTCCTTTGCCTACTCCCATTCAAGGAGAGCTTCTTACTGAGGTGCCTCTGTCTAGTCTTCCTAACACTAATGATTTACAGCAGGGAAAACAGCCAATTGTCTACACTAGGAGGGCAAAACAAGTTATTGACTCACCCTAGGACCAAGAAGTCTCCCTCGATCCAGGTAATTCCTTAGTTGACATTGATACTCTTGATTCTTTTCCCAATAGCATTCCTATTGATCTTGATGTCCCTATTGCCTATCATAAGGGTGTTCGTAGTTGTACAAAGCATTCCATATCTCAGTTTGTATCCTATGATGCCTTATCTCCAACATATTGTGCTTTCACTTCGTGTATCTCCTCTGTATCTGTTCCTTCTAGTGTTTCAGATGCTCTCAGTCAAACTTTATGGAAGAAAGCTATGCTTGAAGAAATGAAGCCCCTTGAGAAGAATGGTACTTGGGATATTGTTCCATTACCTAGGGGTAAGAAACCAGAAGGCTGCAAATGGGTCTACACAATAAAGTATCATGCAGATGAAACAATTGAGAGATATAAAGCTCGGTTAGTTGCAAAGGGCTTCACTCAGACCTATGGAATTGATTATCTGGAAACATCTGCTCCAATCACCAAAATGAACTTTGTACGTGTTCTTTCTTTGGCAGCTAATTTGAATTGGCCCTTACATCAGCTGGATGTAAAGAATGCTTTCCTTCATGGTGACTTGGAGGAAGAGGTGTATATGACTATGCCACCAGGGTTTAAGCTTGTTAATGGTCAGAATTAAGTGTGCAAGCTAAATAAAGCTTTGTATGGGTTAAAGCAGTTGCCACTTGCTTGGTTTGAGAGGTTCAGCACTGCTATGAAAAGAGTAGGGTACACACAGAGTCAGGCAGATCATACTCTCTTCATCAAAAAGCACCAGGGCTGCACCATTGCCCTTATTGTATATGTTGATGATATTGTTATCACTGGAAATGATCCACAAGAGATTTGTCGAATGAAATCATTCTTGGGGACAGAGTTCGAGGTTAAAAACCTTAGATCATTGAGATACTTTCTTGGCATCGAGGTGTGCATATCAAAAAAAGGGGTGTTCATTTCTTAACGAAAGTATGTGTTAGATTTGTTAGCTGAAACAAGCAGGCTTGGAGCTAGACCGATTGATATTCCCATTGAGCAGAACCATAAGCTTAATGATGTAGATGGAGACTCATTAGATGATGTGGGAAGATTTCAGCGATTGGTTGGGAGACTGATTTACTTATCTCTCACGCGCCCGGATATTGCCTACGTTGTTGGTGTGATTAGTCAGTTTATGCATGCTTTACGTACACCTCACTTTGAGGCAACTCATCATGTTCTTCGCTACCTCAAGGGTTCACCTGGTAAGGGGATATTGTTTGGCAGTCATGGCCACTTGCGTGTTAAAGCCTATACTGATGCTGATTAGGCAGGGTCTGTGACAGATCGACGATCTACTTTAGGATATTGCACATTTGTTGGAGGTAATCTTGTTTCATGGCGAAGCAAGAAACAGTCTGTAGTAGCTAGATCTAGTGCAGAGGCTGAGTTCAAATCCATGGCACATGGAGTTTGTGAGTTGTTATGGCTGTGAGTTGGGTTATCCTGTTCGCGAGTCAATGAAGTTGTATTGTGACAACAAGGCTGCTATTAGCATTGCCTACAATCCTGTTCAACATGACAGGATAAAGCACATTGAAGTCGATCGACACTTCATTAAGGAAAAGCTTCGTCTTGGGCTGATTTGTACTCGTCAATACACATGATCAGGTTGCTGATGTTTTGACTAAGGTTGTGAGCAAGACTTGCTTGCAAAATATGTTAGTCAAGCTGGGCATGATAGATATCTTTGCACCAGCTTGAGGGGAAGTGTTGTCAGGGGCTTATTTGTTATTACTTATATAATGTTGGGGCTTATGTGTAATTTCTGAAACTTGTTATTATAAATAGAATGTGGTGGAAGGATGAAAGTATTCTCATTCTCTCTCTCTTTTCCCATCTCTTTCTCTTTTTCTCTCATCCGCTTTCTTCTCTTTTTCTTCTTCTTTATCACTTACTCATGTATTGAGATCCTAGTGAAAAAAATTCTATCTATTTCAGGATCAAGTTTAAGTATCCCTCGTTTGCAAGGTTTAATTAGTTTATTGTCAAAGTTCTCTGAAGTTTGAAATATTCACCTTTGAGCATAGTTCAACAAGCTCAATATTGAATTTTCAAAGCTAAGCCAATTATATGATATTCAATAAGCAACAGAATGAACAACAGATTAGCATTCATGGTTTATGTGGGCAATATATATTTAAAATTTAAATCGTGAAGAAAAATGTCATCTTTTTCAGTATCCAATTACGTATCAGAGGCTTGTCACAAGTGAGACTTGTCCTATCTGTTTGGAAGTTAAAACATCCAAAATTTGCTAAACTGTAGGCATATTTAGCCAATCCATGCAGTGACCTCAAAATTCTCATCTAAGTTTGTAATTTGCACTCTGATATATTGCACAACGATAACAAAAACTCCCATGAGAAAGATGACACGGATAATTTGATATTCTATAATTTCAACCAGCCTACAACTTATATAAAGTTCATGATTTATAAATCAAATAGATGTTCCAGGATGTCAAGTGATATAAAATTCCATAATGATCTATTACAAAAAATAACAATAGTAACATTCTGAACTTTTTCTTGGTTTTTACATCATATTATACAAGTGAAGAATGATAGTGGCGAGAGCCAAGAAACAATAAAGTGCCTAAGCAAGAAGATACACAATTAATATTTCTATAGTCAAAAGAAATGGGGAGTTTTATAGATGGTTTTGGTTGTAGTATAGACGAGTTCCGCATGATAAAAATTGAGCAAAAGAATGAAGTACAATATAACAAAAATGATTCAGTCAATTAAAATACCAATATAGGAAGCATCTTACTTCGTTTTCATCCATCAGAAGATTGGCAGCCTTCAAGTCCCTATGAATTATATTATTCTGGTGCAGGTAGTTCATTCCCTTTGATATATCAATTGCTACTTTGAGTAAAGATGGAAGCTTAAAAGTACCCCTATGTTTGTGTAGATAGTCATACACACTTCCACCGGACATATACTCTGGGTTCAAATGGAAACATTGTACAAAGCCAAAAGTAAGAACTAAGAAGAAAATTCCCCAAAAGACAAAAATTCATTTTACAAGAACAAAATCCTTGATTTATACAGTACCAGAATCATTTGTCAACTTTACCTGTCACAATGCACAAGCTTGGAGGTTTGGTGCATGCACCTATGAATTGTACAACATTCTTGTGTCGAACCTTCCTGTGCCAAACAGGAGTCAATTAGAGCACATAGAGTAAAAGGAAATTTAGAGGATATTAATGCAGACAATACGCCTTTTTAAAAAGCAAAGGTTAGAAGAGTTGTATAACATCACCAACATTAAGGTCAAAACAAATAAATAAATAGAACAGCGAAATCCAAAATATGAGGACCCACAACATTGAAATCAGTACATTTAGAAATGTTCTCTAGGTAGAAAAACTCACAGGAGAGAGAGAGAGGCAACAGGACAACAGTTTTAAAAGGGAATTTACGAAAGATACTTCAATTTTAACGTTTGGTACAATATAATTACCATAAATAATACATTTCATACATAACACGTGCGTATTAATGTTCAAAGAAGTGCATTAACTATTTAATGTTCCATTTTATCTTATGAATACATGACTAACAGAACAATAGCCTGACCAAATATAGAGTTATAGACAGTTTCTTCAAATACAGACAACCAACCAAATATAGACTGCGTCTTCAATATGAGACGTCAAAAAATTATAGTGATTGATGCATTCATGATTTTTTTTCCCGGGTAACAGAGAACAATCCAACCAAGCGCCCTTTGGAATTGATACATTCATGTTTGAAAAAGAGTCGCTATATAAAATAAAATAAATGACCTTGCCGGGAAAAAGAAAAATAAAGTTTTAGCAAGAACAATTATTAACAAGGAGATGCATGTGTTTTGAGAGGTACTCCTGACATCTTTGAGAATATTTTCAAGCACAACCACACAACTGATACGTCCTCCTTATCATAGTTTCAGAGAGAAATTCTGACAAACCTCATAATAAAAACTTCTTGAGCAAACTCCCTCTGCATATCTGAATTTACATGCTCTGCCTTGAGGACTTTGATAGCTACTTCCTGAGTATAGTATGAACCTTTGTATCTGAATCAATCAAAAGAGACGGTTAATAGAATCACGAAAGTGACATCGAAACAAGTGAATAATATATGGTAAACTTACAGATCACCGTATGACCCAGATGCAATTTTTTTCTCAAATTTTAGAAGCAGAGAATCAATTTCCCATACATCATCATTTGGTATCTTCAAATGATCAGGTTCACATTTGATCCCTGATTGCTCTGGCTTGCTTATAGGAGATAATGAACGAGGATTTGGCCAGCATTGTTTCTGCATGGCAACTCAAAAAGCCTGGTTAAGAATCAATGCAGATATAAATTGTTTCCGCATAGCAACTCAAAAAGCCTGGTTATATATATATATATATTTTTCATATATATATGGAAACTTGACAAAGATACGGGAAACACATTCATCACAACCTAAAGCAAAGGAATATCTAATCTTGACTTATTTCTGCCACAAAAAATTTAAAGAAAAACACAATGCATATTTAGAGCAATAGTAATGTTGTGCATATTTGAAAATTCCACATGTTCTTTTTTCTTTTCTTTTTTTCCTTTTTTGTAGTTTAAAGTCCACATGCTTTCTACTTGCTTTCTTCCATTGAGTCTTGACATATGGGAGGAACAAATAATATGGAGGTTATACAAATCTCATTGCATTAAGTTATATTTTGGATCTCAGCATAACTCAACAAGCCTTATCGTAACTATTCAGGGTTGCTATAGGAACCCTTTTTTTTATTTTTTCCCTTAGCCATAATCTTAAAAACCTACCATACACCAACAGACCTGTGGCCTAGCGAGGTCAGGGGTTCGAGCCTCAGTGGAGGCGTGTGTGTGTGAGTACCAACTAGGAAAAGAAAAAAAAAAAAAAAAAAAAAGGCCCTACCATACCCTTCGTACCTGAATCTACGTTAAGCTTAGTCTTTATCCTTCCAGTAGCATTACCATCAACGTAAACCTTGTCTCTCTTCCTCAATGAAGCAGTTATAAGCTTCTATTGAAAATTACCAAATCATCTTAAACAATTTTCTCTCATTTCATTTCCAAATAATCCTGCTTCTATCATCACAGGAACATGTTATTATCAAATTTTATACTTTCTTGTCTTGCTAGACATCCATCTCAACATTAGCTCTTTTGCCAAGTTAGTATCATGTTTGTTACGACAAATGCAGCAAACCGAGCAACAATAACGAAACACAACAGAAAAATAAACACACCACAGAAAGAATACAAAGATTTATACATGGTTCGGCAAGGCCTATGTCCACAGTGGAGATCCGGTGAAAGTCTTCACTATCGGAGATTACAAGTTTCAGCCCCTCACTCTCACTTATGTACGAATTCAGTGTCTCTCTCACCCCCCACTGCAAACCCTAAACGCCCTTACACATAGAACTACAAGAGAGTACTAATTAGGGTCCACGACCCATGAGCAAATAGGTCAAAAACAAACGGGTCACCGGGTTGCAACGTGACCTGGAACCAAATTCAGGCCACAACATCACATTATTCATTAGCTACCCAAAAAACACTATCGCATATAGCATAACAGGTCTTGTAGCTGTCTAACATAAATTAGCTTTTAACTTTATAAATTACATTGTTTACACAACACATTAGAAGCATTCCTCCTCGTAATCCATCCTACTTTAGTTTTATGAGTAGCATCATTTCCAATCTCCCCTTCCCTAAGCAAAATTGAGCCTAAAATACAAAAAAAAAAAAAAAAAAAATCTCTTTGTTGTGTCTTAGCTTTCAATCTTCATTACATATTCATTACATCTCCATTTGTATTTCTAAATTTACTAAATTTTACTTTATATTATTTTTAAACCCTCTTGATTCTAGGGCTTCTCTCCAAAGTTCTAACGTAACATTCATCCATACCTTAGTACACACACACACACACACATATACACAAGAAAAGAAAAGAAAACAACACAACTATTAACAAATAGCATAAACCAGGAAACCATCTTTCTATCGATTAATCCAAAATTCAGTGCTAACTTTATAAAACCCTAAATATAAAATAACCAAATGTTAAAATGGGGAGATGAAGAATAAAATATATCTGGCCCTATGGTTCAATTGGAAAACATTATAAGACACATTAAGGATTCTCGATTTAACTTCACCTCACCAACTGATTTGTCTATATATAACTTTAATTTTTAAAGAGTCATTTTCTTGTGCCGGCAAGCCATTTTGTATCTGCAAATATGAAGCATTGAAGAAATTCCCCACTCAAAGAATTATTTTAGTCAGTATTGGGAAACCAAACAACAATTGCTTACCTAATAAATAAATTTCAAACTTCAACATCTTAGACTCCAGTCAAACCAAAAGTAGAACTAAACTAAAGGGACTTCTCCAATGCAGGAAGGTCACAATCCAAAAAACATAAAATAGATAGATAACATTTTAAAATTTGCCTTAGGGTCCATTAACTAATGCCAGAAAGTAATAGTTTGACATGAATCTTAATGTGAAGTCTAGGCAATTCATGGCATGCCAAAGGTGAGATGAGTTATTGGTATTGAACCAAGTAGAAATATCTTTAAGAAGACCATTAACTTGATTCATGCAGTTACTGATACTATTGTAAACATTGCTATGTAGTTTCAGCACAACTCGAGAAGCCTATATTTGAAAATGAAAAGCTGTAAAATATCTGAACAGAGATGCCCATCTTTGAGTAAGTATTTTCACCGTATTCGTCTGAGAAAACATTAATGCTTTTAAGGTAAAAAGAACAATAATGTAGATCAAATTTAACAGATACTCCAAATACAGCTCTAATAAGAGACCATCTCAATCAACGTGTAATAATGAAACATATTATCAAATCACCAAGTCTTGAATTAACAGATGCATGATTATGAGGTGGCGGAAAAGTAATGTAGCACAGATGAGCTCCTCAAGTCACACATGAGGTTTAAGAATCTCTTATGCAACTGATTTGGATTTAACATTGTAACAACAAAGGAAAGTACCTCAATTCTGAAAGCTTCCTTTTCTAACACAGTTTGGAGCCTCTCGGTTTCCTAAAAAATCACACGAAGTCAGTCAAAAAAATTACAGTGAACTGAAATGGAAGGAGGAAAAACTTTGAGCATGCCATTATAATTTTAACAATATGCATCTTTCCGTGTGCCAGACATTTATTAGTGTTTCCAAAATGACACTAAATCAGACTATAAGAGTATATTTAAAAAATCATATCGAAATAATGAACTTCATAAACTCAGAAAGAACAACAAAAGAATTACAGAAAGTTGAGAAAATAAAACTCTAAAGAGAATTAACGCATGGAATGCAAGAATCAAGATTTTTAAGTAGCTTTTTCCATGTATCTTAATGGTCCATAAACCAAGAAGAAGAATGTGTGGAACTTGAAGATATAGTGCACTGCACTTCATGTAAAGTCGTCATGTTGACAATAGCAACACAGCATTCTAACTACACAACTGAAAGGAAATTGAAGAGAAGAAATTACCTCATATGGCCAACCATCAACAACAAAAACATCTAAAGAATAACCATCTGCTGTGGAAAAAGCATGCGCTTCCTGGATGTTCAGCCCAACCTCAGCTAGTAATGAAGTCAACTGCAAGATTTGATCAAGTCAGTGACCATTTGACATGGAAGCACTCCATATAGTTACTAGATTTAGTCTTTCTCCAGCTTAATGTTTTTTATGCATAACATTGTCATTACAAAAAATAAGTGCCAGTATTCACTACTTCAAGAGTTTATTAATCACTGTTAGTGCAAATGCAGATACACCCACGCATCACCACCGATGCACAGGGTACGCTCATTTAGATTACACAACTCCAAATCAAGAAAGGTTATCTTTCTTAGCCTACAGGACATAGTTGGACATATTTTTTTTCAATAGAAAAAGGTAAAAACTTAAGTTGAAAGTAATCAACAAGTTTTCAATCATAGCAAAGGATTGAAATGTTAAGCCAATAGGACTTAGTTGGCTAATTTCATCCAAAACTTGGAGTATGTATTTTTATTTCAACTTTTTATTAGTATTTTAAAAGTTGGTTAGGTTAGTTGAGTTATCTTTTGTCCAAGGGCATTGTTGACCTTAAGGATTTCATCCAAGGACAATCTAGTTGTTTTGATGATTACAAACCATTAATGGTGTTTAAGGACTAATGTTTACATTGAGTGTTACAGATTATTCACATTCAAAGGATGACCTCAATGAAGCACGAAAGATCAATCCAAGTATTCAATTACTCAAGATCACATCTATGGAAAGTAAAGGAGACAAAGGAATATGATGTTGCAAGGAACCAAATGCATAGTCCATCTAAAGATAGCTTGGACTACAATGAGCAAGAAAGCAAATCAAAGAAAGGAAGAAAGCAAATCTACCTGAAAGCCTACACGATCATGAACAAAGCGTGAAGAAAGGGGTAGATAGGTTGGTGCATGTTTAGGATTCATTGTCAAAGTATTTATGAATCCATTTGAAGCTCATCTCTATAGGACCATGCATATCATATCAGCATTCATATGTTCCTATATATATTAGCAATAGACTATGCACTTTATTCATATATAATTGCACACGAAGTCATTGTTAAAGAGTGAGTTAGTTCAAGCTTGCATAAGCTTTGAAAGAACTCATCACTTGTGCTAGAAATGCTAAGACCATGCACATCAATCATATAATTCATATTGGTCAACAATTAAGGTATGAGAAGCCTTCATTACCATGAGTTGGTAACGAACATTAGGACCCCAGAATGCGCGTCATGAAAAACTGTGTTTTTGGCTAAGTGTGAAAAATAGATTTTTGAAATAATGATTATTTTAAAATAATTTTTCCCGGTAATAACTCTTTATACTTTTTTTTTTTTTGATAAGTAAGAATTTATTAAAAGCGCTCAAAAGGGGAGCGAAGCCCAAAGAAAACAAAAAGGGCCAAAAGGCGCCTTAGACCTTCACAGAGGCCAAGAAAACAATGATTTCCTCCATAGATCTATAATCTCTTCCTGAAACCCAACAAAAAAGAGTAGAAATAACAGAGAACTTAAGCATAGAAATAGGCTTCTTTTTCCCGTCAAAATGTCTCCTATTTCTCTCGAGCCAAATACACAACCAGATACAAAGCAGCATAGCCCTCCAAGCATCCTTAACACCAACCCCAACAGAGATGCCTCTCCAAGCTTCAATCAACCCTCTAGAGGAATAGGGCATGGCCCAATAGACCCCAAATAAACGAAGCATCAAATCCCAGCAGTCTCTGGCCATACTGCAATGTAAAAGGAGGTGATCAACTGATTCCTCATTACACAAGCACATATAACAATGATTGACCACCACCTGATTCCTCCTCCTCAAATTATCCTGGGTTAAAATCTTACCCAGGACAAAGGTCCAAGCAAAAAAGGCGACCTTACGGAGAGCCTTAGAACGCCAAATAGACTTCCAGGGGAAGAGTTCACCTTGACCATCCGAAAGACATCTAAAAAAGGATCTAACCTCAAACTGGCCTTACGAGTTAGGAATCCATAGCCACCCATTTGGCTCCCCAAAAGAAATCACCTGACTATACAAAAGCTCCAGAAAACGAGAAACATCCTCGATCTCCCAATCCTGAAAATGCCTCCTGAACTAAACATCCCAAGTCAGTCTCCCGTTATCAAGATGATAACAGTCAACAACCATGGCCTGTCGGTGAGAAGCAATCCTATAGAGCCGTGGGAAAGCGAGAGCAAGAGGGAGCTCCCCACACCAGAGATCCTTCCAAAAACTGATCCTCCTTCCATCTTTAATGCGAAAACGAACATGCTTGCAGAAGTCATCCCAACCCCTTCGAATGAAGTTCCATACTCCCACCCCCCTTGGACCACGCATAGCCCGAGAGCACCACCCCCCACGACCTTCCCCAAACTTGCTAGCAATAACTCTCCTCCATAACCAATGCCTCTCGATTCCAAACCTCCAGAGCCATTTACCAAGGAGAGCCTTATTAAAAGGCAACAACCTCCTTAACCCTAAGCCTCCAAACCGAATTGGACGACACACTTGATCCCACCGAACCAGGTGAAACTTGCCCCCCCCCCCCCCCCCCCCAAACAGAAAATTACACTGCAATCTTTCAATTCTCTCAGCCACTGAAGAAGGAATCTGAAACAGAGATATGAAGTATGTAGGAAGGCTAGAAAGAGTGCTCTTAATCAAGGTAACCCGACCCCCCTTAGACAAGTACTGCTTTTTCCAACCCACCAACCTCCTCTCGAATCTGTCCACAACCGGATCCCAACTCCCCACACATCTGGAAGGGGCTCCCAAAGGCAATCCTAAATAAGAAATGGGAAAGGAGCCAGTGCAACATCCAAGGATCTGAGCAAACAACTCAATCCCAGGAACATCCCCAACAGGCACAAGAAGACTCTTGCCTACATTAACCTTAAGGCCAGAAACAACTTGAAACCAAATCAAAACACATCTCAAATACCTCAGCTGGGACGCATCCGCATCACAAAACACAATAGTGTCATCTACAAACATCAAATGAGAAACCTCCAATTGACTAGCAACATCCCTGCCCACCCGAAATCCACTCAAAAAACCCAGCTCCACAGCCCTCTTCAGCAATCTACTAAGAGCCTCCATCACAAAAAGGAACAGGAAAGGGGAAAGCGGATCCCCTTGTCTCAAGCCCCTCGAGCTAGAGAAAAAACCCGTTGGCGCTCCATTCACAAGGACAAAGAAACGAGCGCTAGAAATGCAGAAAAGAATCCATCTCCTCCACCGCCCACCAAAACCCATCCTCTCTAACAGATAGAGAAGGAAACTCCAGCTCACATGATCGTATGCCTTTTCAATATCTAGCTTGCAAAGAACACCCGGAACACCACTGCTTAAGCGGGAATCCACACATTCACTAGCAATAAGAACTGAATCCAGAATCTGCCGACCTCCCACAAAAGCATTCTGAGAGTCAGAAATGACACCATCCATCACCTTCTTCAACCTAGAGGCTAAAGCTTTCGCAATCAACTTGTAAAAACATCCCACCAAACTGATAGGGCGAAAGTCTCTAACATCCATTGCCTCTCCCTTCTTCGGAATAAGAGCAATAAAAGTTGCATTCAAACATTTCTCAAAAGAGCCCTACACATGGAAGGCATGAAAAGAGGCCATCACCTCCTCACAGACCATCTCCCAACACTCCAAAAGGAACCTCATAGAAAAACCATCAGGTCTAGGAGCTTTATCCCCATTACAACTCTTCAGAGCAGAGAGAACTTCCTCTTTCGGAAAAAGACTCCTCTAAAATAGAGCACTCCTCACCCGAAATAGAATCAAATTGAAGCCCATCCAGCAAAGGGCGCCAATCGGCTGACTCAGTGAACAACCTCGAAAAGTACTCAGAAAAACTCTTACATATCTCCTCCTCTTTACTAATCAACACCCCATCCACCCTTATCCTCCCAATGTGGTTGCCCCTTCTGTAAGCATTGGCGAGCCTATGAAAGAATTTAGTGTTATTGTCTCCTTCCTTGAGCCACAAAGCTCTAGATTTCTGTCTCCATGAAATCTCCTCCATGACAGCAATCTCAGCAAACTCTGCTTGACACTCCACCCTGCTGAGCTTCAAAGGACCCGTCAAAAGACCCTGATTCTCCATCTTATCAATGTCAGCAATCTCAGAGAGAACCCGGTTCTTTCTCCAAGCCAAATTACCAAAAACCTCTTTGTTCCAGACTTTGATATCATTCTTAAAAAAACGCAACTTGCCTGCCAAAGAATGACTCGAAGTGCCAACCACTCCATACCCTGCCCACCAGGATCGGACTCGCTCCAAAAAGCCTTCAGCCCTGAGCCACATATTCTCAAATCTAAAAGGGGAACTTCTGCTACGCAGCCAGCCACAATCCAACAACAATGGAACATGATCAGACAAAGGACAAGCCAGGGTGGCCTGAATAACATCAGAAAACTTTTCCTCCCAATCACTCGACACCAAGAATCTATCAAGACGAGAGAAAGTAGGAGGAGAGCATCCACTGGACCAGGTGAGAGGCCCACCCACCAAAGGCAAATCAAGCAAACAGAAACCATTAATAAACTTTAAGAAAGCCATCATATCAGCTGTCCATCTGCCCCCTGTCGACTGCTCAAAAGGGAACGAACAACATTGAAATCCCCCACTATACACCAAGGCAACGACCATCGCCTACGGATCTCCCCCAGCTCCTCCAGGAACAAATGGCAATCACAATCCTCCGTAGGCCCATAGACTCCAGAAAAAACCCAACTAAAGCCATCCTCCACCATGGATAGAACATAGGATGCCGAGAAACGCCCAACCTGAGAGTCCAACAAAGAGATCCAACGTACATCCCACATGATCAGAATACCACCCGAAGAGCCAATCGCATCCAAAGCAAACCACTCTACGAATCTCCCACCCCATAAACCTTGAACAATCACATCCGTCATAGAGGCAATCTTGGTTTCTTGAAGACATACTAAATGACCACCCACTTTCCGAATCACCGATTTCACCACTTTCCTTTTAGCCGGGTCGTTGAGACCCCGGACATTCCATGAAAGAATTTGTAGCTTCATAGG